TTGAGGAGTTTTAGGGCTTAAGGATTTTAGGGCTTTTAGTGCTTCGATTTTTTGGGTTTAGGGTTTGTAGGTTTGAGGGTTTAGGTGTTTTAGGGCTTAGGGTTTAAGGGTTTTAGGATTTAGCGCTTTTTTCAGGGTTGTAGGGCTTAGTGGTTTGTGGGTTTAGGGTTTAGGGTTGTTGGGGTTTCAAGTTTTAAGGGTTGAGGGTTGTCAGTGCTTTTTAGGGTTTAGGGTTTGTAGTGTTTAGGACCTTTGGGGTTTTAGAAATTGTGGTTTCTGGGGTTGAGAGTGTTCAGGGTTGCTAGTTGTCTTACGCGTTTTAGTGTTTGAAGGGTTTAGGGTTTTTAGGGTTTGGTGTTTTTAAAGGTCTTTAGGGTTTAGGGTTTTTTTAAGGGTGATGGCTTTTGAAGGTTTTCATGTTTGGGGGTTGTTAGGGTTTAGGGATTTTAGGGTTTAGGCTGTGGGTTTGCGGTTTTTTAGGGCTCAGGGGTTTTAGGGTTTAGAGTTGTAGGGGTTTCAAGTTGTTATGCTTTTTAGGGTTTTGTGTTTTTAGGGTTTGGGGGCTTAGGGCTTTTGAGGTTGTTAGGGTTTTGAGTTTTGAGGGTTTAGAAGCCGCAAAGATTGTAATTTGCAGTATTGGCATCGTTTCAAGAACTCCAAATGCAGTAATTTGCGGTATTGGCAGCCTTTCAAAAGCTCCAAATGCTGTTATTTGCAGTATTCGTAGCCTGTCAAGAGCCGCAAATGTTGTAAATTGCAGTATCGGCAGCCTTTCGAGACCGTTCAACAGCCGCAAATGTTGTAATTTGCAATTTTGGCAGCCTCTCAAAAGCTTCAAATGCTGCAATTTGCAATATTCCTAGGCCAAAGAAAACACAAAACAAAAAATACATAAACAAAAACAATAAAAATACCTTAAAACATAGGATTCCCTTTTTAAATATCTGGACATTAAAACAGATTAACTTAAACAGGTATCTCATACTATTTCCGTGAAGGCCCCAACCGTTAAACATCCTGAAGACTACGGTTACCTAGAAGTGTGAGAAGATCCCACCCGAACAAGCATTAGGTGTTTTGTTTTGAGCTTTGGGGCCCGAAAAACTTAAAACGAGTACTCCCCCGCGTCCTCCTCCCCTGTTCAGTCCCCGGCCTGCGGGGAAGTATTCGTTTTGAGCTTAATTTAAGGATTAAGTGGAGGCCGCTCCAATCACTGTCTAGTTGGGGAACCACTCAAGGGGAACCATGATTAAAAGAGCAGCGGCAGCAACAGCAGCAACAACAACAACCACAGGAAAAACGCAGGAAGTTAAGAAACCTTGAATTCTGGCTGGAATGGCTGGATTGCCTTTAGACTCCTTTAATATCCTTTAATTGCATTCTTGGGCACTGCAGAGCTTGGAACAGCTGTTGAAGAAACCGTAGTCCATCAAATTCCACATCATGACCCATTGCGCCCTCACAACACCCCCCCCAAAAAATATGCATAGCCACCTTTAGGTCACTATTGGAAGTAGAGTGCCCCTTCAAAGGCAGTTCCAGAATCTGACATATCCCTCCAGCTTTATGCAATGACGAACCGTTAAAAACTTCATGGTATGAGAAATTTGACAACACGTCGCAATACATCCGTCCACAAGAAGAATGAGGCAGGCCGTCGAGTACGGAAAGGTGGGAGGGCAGCTCGTCCCCCCGACCGTTTTCTGAAGTCTGGCGGAGGGGCCGGGGCCCCTGCACAAGCCTTTAGGTCTTGAAGTATTTGACCGGCCCAAGAAGTTCTGCGAAACCACCGAATCAGTTGGTGAACAACAACTCCCACAAGCAGCTGCACTCAAGGAAATGATTCCCCTGATGCTCAAATGCATCCTGAGTAGAACATCGAAGAAACCCTTCACGTTCCGGTATGCCGGTATGGCTATACAAACATTTCCAACTTCCAAAGGCGAACGACTGATGAGATCGAAGCTTTTTCTTGCAAATCTAGGAACACTTCTAAACGCAGTTTCAGAATCTTGTCCCCACAAATGCATCCAGCAAACTGTAAAAACAAACCCTAGTAACCTGACAAACTTGTCAACGTGTCACAACAAACGCAACAACACACACACACACTCACACGGGATCCGCTCGGCCGTGGATCGGCGGCATGAAATCGGGGAGGCCGTCCCACGCCCGATGCTTTCTTCTATGCTGAGAAATTCTCCGTTGCCCAAGAGCTCACATTTTCATTTATTCGGTAAAGAAGTCCGGCGGTCCCCAAAGAGCTAGCTTTAATGACTAGATTCTGACTTGTGATGTGCAAATCTTCATACTTGGCCGTAGGCCTGCTCACAATGAGATGATATGAGATGCATGTAGACTCCGTACCCCTACTGCATTGCACGGGAGGCCTTATTGAACGCTTGAAGCACATCTGATGGCTGCCTCAGTCATGGCTGCAGTCAAATACAAGCGGCTGGTGACTGACCGTCCAAGTGCTTTGCGTTGGATCGTTCAAAATAAGAAGCATGTCCGGGCGAAGTCGGTGCAAGCCTCGCAGTCATGATGCAAGCTCTTGCATTACCACCATCCGCTCCAACTACGACAAACATCACCTCCTAAAGCAATGACATGCCGCTTGCTCTGAGCCCCTAAGTCGTGGAAACTTCATATGCCAGGTGGACATTTCTGTAAACAATGCCATTATCGAGTAAGGCTTGACTGTCTATAAAGAGCGTGTTGCGTCATTGGCGGTCCCAGCAATCTGTCCCTGCACGGCAGGCGCGATGCTTCCGATCCTTGAAGAGTCACTGCATAGCCAAGTGATACGTCTTTGCTCTTGCCGCATTGAGCGCGAATTAGCCTTCACTCTTTTTTCAGCCACGCACCTGCAACGGAAGAAACTGCACCGCAGGGCCCACTTATGGATCTTTTGGAAACGTTGCATATTTCGGATCTGACAGATCTTGCAAAGAATGCAACGCCAGCCCAAGTTGGCCCAACTTCAATAAGTGCACTTCCAGCAAATTGGGAGGCGTAGTCAGACAATCCCTGATGGATGAAGATCCTGCCTTTTCAGAGGCGCCCATTTTGGCAATTCAATTGCGTTCCTTCTCCTGTGGGTCCACTGCCACGTAGCTGTGAAGGTGCAGCGAACGGCGGGTTCAGCTGCGTTGCAGCTTCATGGCATCGGAAGCTGCATTGCAATGGAATCACATTCTGCTCGTTCTGAGCTTGCATGAGATGTGTGCCTTGGTTGTGTTCTTCCACTTCATGCAGCGTTTGTGGCCCTGGATGCCCTGGGTCGGCGCCTGGTTGTTTTGGACGGCCCCGCATCCATCTTGTGGCCCTGCGTCTTGCCGGCACCCTATGCACTCTGTTCGAGATGTGTGCCCAAACCTGTTGCAACACCTTGTTGTGCCGGTAGCTCCGTGTTCAGCTCAGGTTATTTCTGCCTCGACCTGCAACCTTCGCCTTACTGACTTCAATCAGGTTGGTAATGCATTCATACGCTGTATGTCAGCTTGCTGTACAGGTGCTCCCTACTTGCGGTGCTCTATATAAGGTTGGGGGGGGGGGCGGTCTCCCACCTCCAGCTCCTTGACGAGCACGGTGCCCCTGGGCCTTCCACGGTGGAAGGTGCTGAGCTTAGGAGACCATGCCGGCGAGCTCTGGCTCGCGTTGGGATCGACTACCTGCTTGCAGCGCTTGTCTCCCACGTCGCTTACTGAATCCACTTCCATATTTCTGGAGGTTTAGGCCGTTTATGCCTCCTCTTTGGCAACTTGCCTTGCAGCTGCCAGGAACTTGTAATTCCACGTGGGGTCGTTGTAGGGCCTCCTGGCTCGGTGCTCCATTGGTAGCGCTGGACACGGCATACCCTTGGTTTGCACCTCGGCTGGTGTTCCTTGCTCCTGGGTGCACAGATTGTAGAGCTCGAATGCTGGAGCCGTTTCAGTTTTGTTTCGTCTCAGAGCTTTTTCCCACTGAGCTGAGCCCTGCCTTTTGCCTCCGGTGAGTCTACACTCCAGGCTGTGTGGTGAGCACAGCTCCGCACACGCCTTTGCATTTTTGCCCAGTTTGACCTAGTGTTGCGCCTCGCAGTCTTACTGCGCAAATTGCGCCCGCAGCTTGGCTATCAGTTAAGCCCGCCTTTGCCGATGCCACGGAATCGTTGTGGATCCCAATGGCATGCACTTCGCGGCTTCGCCGTGAGTGGCAGTCCACCTACGGGCTGAGGTTACTGCACTCAGTCAAGTAGTGCATATAGGTTGGCGCTTTCCGCACCCTGTCATGTTGGCCTTAGGACTTCTTGCCTTTGTGCATCGTGCTTTACTTGCACCTGCCAAGTTCCAGACTTTGGGCTTTGCAGCTCTCGCGAACAAAAAAGCCAAGCTAGTCCGAGCCAGGCAGCCCGACACACTTTGAGCCCAAGAAGCTGACTTGCTTGGGCGCAGCATTTGCCCGAAGCAGATCGAAGCAGTATTACTCAAAGGTTGCCAACGTGCTAACCTACACTAACCTAGTTCACAGCAAGCTAGGAGGTCCAGAAAACAAGAAACCACAAGAATCATTGCTTCCGGGAAGCAACTGAATCGTCTCCTGGCATCTGCAAATGAGTTGCGAGAGAGGAAACGCCCAGCTGGGCACAAGTTGCTCACTGTCCTCTTCAGCCTCATTGGCATGGCAATGGCAATCTGGCTTGACAGGCGATGTCTGATTTTGTCTTTCCGCTTGTAGACTGCCTTACTGCAGCTAGCCGTCCTTGCTCTGCCTGTGTACCTGGGGATGTGCGAGAACCCGTAGCTGTTGTTGCTGCGTCAACCTAATTCGACTTTGTAGTAAGCCACTAAACCAGCTTGAGCAGCTTGCACAGCGGATCAACAGAGCCACAGCCGAACAGAGCTTACCTTCTTGCAAACTCTTCATCTTGGCTCACGAGGTGATCTCGCGGAGTGGCAGCTTGATAAGGATGTGGAAATTCCAACTTCTTAACTGATAGCGAATGCAAGGTCGGAGGCCTGCCAACCGACGTGGTTCCAGCGACAGATTTTGTCAGAGCAGCTGTAGCACACTGTCCTTGACTCTGGCCTCAGCAAGCTTCTTGGTATGGTCAGAGATTCTGTAGTGGCGGTACTGCCTAGTAACCTAGTGTCGCTTCGTCCGGATTTGTAGCGAAGAACTCCGTCTTGGTGGAAGTTTGCTCCAACTGCCTGCTGACACAGGCTTCAAGGCCAATCCGGTCAATCCCAATCTGCACAGTACGTGTAGTTCGTCTGCCCCAGTGAACAGCTGTCGCTTGCCGAGCAATGCGAGTGCCTTTGGGTCTGTGGGCATCCCGCGAGATGGCTTGGCCCCGGTCCTGAAGTCAGAAACAAAGGAAAGGATCAGAGAGCAGAAGCACTGAGCATTACACAGTTGTGGTATACGAATTTGTTGTTGTTTTCAGAGCATCTCAGAGCTCGTGACGATCCTCTCGTGTTCTCATCTCTTCTGTTTTTTGCCCGCCTGTTGCGGTCCGCCACGGTCGCTGGATCCGCATCCTGCAGCAACACCGTGTCTTTCGGGAAGGCGCACGGGATTCGGGGCTTCACTGTGGCTGGATCACTGCACCATAAGTTGCCTGTCGGGGCTTTCGCGCCAGACTTCCCTCACTGTTGTTGCTGAGAGGCAGCATCGCCTCGGTGTGAAGCGGGTCATTTCTTGAGCTTGGCTCGGTGCATCGGTGCGTGAGGGCATGTCGCACTGGCCACATGGGAGTGTGCTTACCTCAGCAGTGCAGGCAGTGCAGGTTGCATTAGTCAAGAGTGCTTGTAGAGGCCCCTGCGTAGAAGTGCAAGTGCAGATCATCTTGAAGAGCAAAGAGGAGCTCCTCACGGGAGGCGCTCTTTGCTGTGCAACGACATGTCCTGCGATGTCACACGCGTGATACAAGGCCTCGGACTTCACTCGCCTAAGCAAAGATGCCTCAGGCAGAGAAACCGCTTTTACAGCATCGTCTTAGCTTCTCTGCCCTGGGCCCCCTGCTGAGGATGGCGTTCCGCACGCCTGCAAACAGCCACTGAAAACGCAACAAAAGCGGAGCTCAGGTGCAAGCTCCAGATAGCAAAGCTTGAACAAGGCCCCTGCAGCACATATCATGTCTGCCAGCAGGAAACGATGGAACGCCCTGCGACACAAAGCCTCAAGAAGCAAGAGATCTTCACTAGGGTAGCAGCACGGAGGAATGATGAATGGCACAATTGGTTGCCAATCTTTCTGATGACTCGGGTTAGGAAACCAGTGACTGGTGCAATAATGTGCCATAATGTACCTGAAAGGAACGCCCCTTTGAGAAAGAGGCTTCGGCGTGGCAATCATGGAGAACCTCCAATTCCACGAGTATTCCACGAATCTACGCACAAACGATGCAAGCTCAGAGCTTGCCTGGCCCCCGCCAGCTGTCATCGTTGCAACACCAATGCATCGCGTCCCTGTTGCAAGCGCCTGCCCAAAAATTCAGTGCCCGCGTGCGGCTGCAAAATACTGCAGAATTGTGTCTGGCCAGCACTTGCAGTCCGCCAGACTTCTCTGCCACAATGCCCGCCAGGACCGTCCATGACCGGCCTCACCATCTGGCATTCCTCTTTCGCTATGATTTCAGTAGGTGCGCCTTGTGGCTTTCCGCGACCTGGCAACTGATCGTAGCGGCTAAGCACAGCCTGGGCAGACAGACAGCGCAAAGGCCCACCGGGCCATGCCTAGTCGCTGCGACAGCACAGCAACACTTTTGCAGGGCCTGAGCCACACGGTCAGGAAAGGCAGGAGTTGAAGTCTCCTGCCTGTCGCGAACATACCATCTCGCAAATGCGTGCACATGCGAGCCGTCACTTACGCTGCCAAGATTTGCGAACATCCTGCCTCCCTTCCAGCACAGGAAGCATGGCATGACCGGGAAAGGCACATGTCTGCCGCAAACTCACCAATATTCGTGGCAAAAGTTTCTACTGGGATAATCACTGACCACTGACCCCGTACGTGTTACATCTGTCGGCTAAATTCCATGTTGAGTGAGCCGCTCGCTGGAATTCGCTGGACGTGGTGATGGGGAGAGCACGCAATACATCCACCAACAGGTTGAGTTGGCAACAAGCTGGCAGAGGCAACTTGGGAGGCGTCAACAAGATTGCTGGCTCAGTTGGACCGTGGCGAATCGGAAAAGCGCGGTGCTTTCATGCACCTCTGCAACAACATTGCTGGCTGAATTCGCTTCTTGCTGGAGAGGCTACCAAGCCAGAGCGCAGCGTCGAGATGGTAGTTACAGTAGTGTTGGTGCATGAGTCCTCCACGTTGCTTGTTGAGTTGGCTCCTAGCTGTAAGGCTGGAAATGACAATCGAGGGTGTGACGCTGTCTGCGCAGTCTCCATAGTGCAACGTTGCTAGCGTGCATCCGTCAAGAATACTAATATTGCTGACTGGGGTAGTGAATGGGCGTCCAACGCGCGCAGGAATAAATATTCAGAAGCAAGTTTAAATGCAGTTTTGAAAAATGGGTCTATTAAGAATCGTTGAGCTGCCTCATGACCCACGCCGACCCCACTGCAAGGCATCTAGTAATCTAGTAAAGGTCGTTGCTGCTTGATTTGGCTTCTAGCTGGAAGAAATAACGAGAGATTGTATAGCCCTTCCCCATCATGCATCCGCAAGATTCCGCAAACAACCTTCAGTTGAAACTGCAAGAGTCCATTAATGGCCCATCAGGCCTTTCATTCCACAATTGATGCTGCACATGCCACTACATGGCACAAACACAACCTCCACCAGCATCCATCAAAAACCGCACAACAGCAGCGCCGCGGCCAGCAACATCACCACTGCCACATTTGTGCGAAGCTGTTTCCCAGAGTCTGAGCTGGAATCTAAACAACCATGTGAAATTCTCTGCTGTGTTGGTTTTGCCTTGCTTGCTGATGTGTCGGGATGCCATGACGTGAACCGCTGTTGCCTGCTTGACGTTTTGGATGTCATGCCGCGGTCCGCACTGGAAGTTGAAAGCATTCAAAGCTTCCGTCATAGCAGACCAGACAACACCAGGACTAGGGCTTGCACCACACCTCCCCTAGGCTGACGTCACAAAGGGGCTTGAAATGTCAGGATCCTGAAGTGCAGCGGATCGACACGACTTCATGCGATGCCACTAATTTTACTGCGAGTTCGCGTAGGTTTCACTTTCGAAGCTGACCGAGATAAGCAACAACAATTTGCCAAGTTGAGTCTGTCACGGCTAATAGTGTCGTGCACACACAAGCATATTCTGCCGCTGCTTCTCTGACTGAGCAATGAAGCTGATGTTGCCAGCTGAGACTTCTAGAGCTCTACAAACTACTTCAGAAGTCAAAACGCAGCAACGGGCAGGTTCAGCTCGCTTTTGCCTGCATGCTGCCCACCGCCTGTGCTCGGCTCCAGTTCCACGGATGCCTCCTGTCAACACAACAAACCTGCTAGCAGCAAGTTCCCTGAATCGAAGTGCAGCTACGCTATGAGTCGCCAGGTGGGTGAGGGATCAAAAAAAATCAAGTAGGGATCAAAAAGAGATCAAAAGCGGTGATCACAAAAAAACGAAACAAGGATCAAAACAAATCAAAATATTCAAATGTGAACACGCCCCACGCGAGAGCTTCATTTTCCCAAGGACCAACACCTGTTCGCAGCGCGGCGTATCCTGACGCTCTTACATGGAGCATCCTAGGACTTTTGCTCGGAATCCATAACCCTCTCCGTGTTTGCGGCGCCTCCGGACGCTCTTGCGTGGAGCATTCTGAGAATTTCGATCGGAATCCGCAACCCTCTCCGTGTTTGCGGCGCCTCCGGACGCTCTTGCGTGGAGCGTCCTGAGAATTTTGCTCGGAATCCGCAACCCTCTCCGTGTTTGCGGCGCCTCCGGACGCTCTTGCGCGGAGCGTCCTGATAATTTTGCTCGGAATCCACAACCCTCTCAGTGTTTGCGGGCCTCCGGACGCTCTTGCGTGGAGCGTCCTGAGAATTTTGATCGGCATCGACAACCCTCTCAGTATTCGTGGCGTCTCTGATAAAAGACCTAAATCGCGGATCTAAGAAATTAAAGTAAGGATCCAAAAGAAATAAAAGTAAGTATCAAAAAAATAAAATATTCAAATGCGAGCAAGCCCTACGCAAGAGCAATGAAAACTGATGAAACATGATGACAATCGTGAAAATGATAAAAAAAAAAGTCTGAGAAATCATGAAATGCTTAAAAACAATGAGAATACTAGAGAATGCTTAAAATGATAGAAAATGATGTAAAGTAATGAGCATTATAGAGAAATGATGAAAAACCATGAAAGTCCTGAACAATTATGACAATGATTGAAGAATCAGGAAAAACAATTAATAAAATAGGAAATGACGAACATGATGAAATAATGGAAAATAATGTGATAGAAAATGATGAGAATGATGAAGAATCGTGAAAATGATGACAACATGGAAAATAATGAAAATTGTAAGACATGAAAAACGATGAAAACCATAAACTATCATCATAAGCAATGATGAAAAAGAATAAACGATCAACAAAGATGAAAGTGATAGAAAATGATGACAAGTAATGAAAATGATCGAAAATGATGAAAATGATGAGACATGATAGAGAATTATGAAACTCAAGAAAAATATAGAAAAACAATTAGAATGATGAAAATGATGAGAAAGAATGAAAATGATTAGAACTAATGAAAATGATGAGAAATAATGCAAATGATAGAAAATGATGACGAATGATGAAACTAATGGAAACAATTTAAAAAATGATGATTTTTCATGATGAAACATGATGAAAATGATGAAAAACATGAACAATCATGAACAAACAATGATGAAAATGATGAAACGTCTTAAGAATGACCAAAAATCATGAAATGATAGTAAAATTATGAAAATGTTGAAAACTGTAAAAACTAAGATAATGATAGAAAATCATGAAGATGAAGAACTTGTTGAAAAACACTGAGAACGATAGAAAAATGATGAACATGAAGAAAAACATGAGAACGATAGAAAAATGATGAAACATGATAGGAAAATGCTGAACGTGATGAAACATGATAGAACAAAGGAGAAACATAAGAAAAGAATAATGAAAAATGTAAACTGATGAAAAATGATGAAAATGAAAGAAAAAGAAGAGTATGATGAAAAACAATGAAAAATCATGCAACGGATAGAAAATCATGAAAAGTATTGAATTAATAAGAAATGAAGCATGGATTAAAACAAAAAAGGCGGGGGGTTGGGTCGGGGGCAGCCCCCCCGTTTGCAAACAAAATGATCTGGATGTGGTGGCATGATACTAATGGTTACAGCCAAGGTTTTCGGAGGGTTCGAAGCCTCTAGGATCGCGGTCTCTAGCCGAGGCTGTGGGCACAACGATCGAATATGATGATACGTGTCTTCCTTCCTTCCTTCCTTCCTTCCTTCCTTCCTTCCTTCCTTCCTTCCTTCCTTCTCCTTCCTTCCTTTTACGCATGTTTTACTTTTTTTTGGATCCTTCGTTCCTTACTTCCTGGCATAGGATGTCCCTTTGATTTCCGCTGAAACAGGATATACTGATTTTATTGATCCTTATTTGATTTTTAATTGATCCATATTCGATTTTTTGTTGATCCACATCTCCACCAGGTTCTTAGCAGAGTTTGCGCTCCAGATCGCCTTGCAAGGAAACCTGACCTTAGCAGCCTTAGCATGGACCTCTCAATCAGCATGTGCGTCTTCTGAGTGGTTTTGAACGGTGTGCGTGCTGCATGACGGATCTGCGGACCCTGCTCCCCTGCTAATCGTACAAGAAACACATGACGTCGTTCGTGTTGCTGGACTATGGCGTGTTGCTCGACTATGGCGGGTCTGCCGTTCGCATCAAAGGATAACTGAATGGCTTCGCACCCACAATGTGACCCATGTCGTTCCATCCTCGGGCTCTCCACCTCTGGAAGATACTGAGAGTTAGTCTTCTACTTTCTGATCTTGGTTTGTAACCGGCGGCTGCTCATGCAGCTGACTAGCCCAACAGTTACCGTGCTTTTCTTTGCTTCTCAGAGGATTTGGCATGGCATACTGCGTGGCTACTGTACTCCTGGCCTCCTTCTCCGCAAGCCAGCTGGGCTCCGCATTGAACTGGATGCTGCCTCCTCAAATGTTGTTTTTTCATCATGTGCTTTTTGCGCAGAGCTATGCAACAAAAAATTGCATTGCAAGCAAGGCTCCTGGGACAGAGGAGGCTTTCATCACCTCATCCAACGGCAATCCCAGTCGAGCAGCCTGTCTGCAAAGGATGCAGGATTATCTCTGTGGGCCCATCAGGGTCATCGTGTATCAAGCCTTTCTGGCCATTCGCTGCTCATACTTCCTGGAATCCGCGAAGCAGGCATCCAGGTTGCGCGTATGATCGCACATGATTGCAATACAGTGATAGCACCTCCTGCACTCGCGCTCGTACTCCTGCTGAGCTCGCAGTTCGCGATCCCTCACATGCAGAATTATCGGATGACGTTTCCGCTGAATCTCTCCATGTCATGGAATCATGCTAACCGTCGCCAAACACACGCTGCCATGGCCTCGCACCTTCCCAAACCGATCCTCTCGATTAGGATAGACCAGAACCCTTCAAGTGCAAAGGATTGCAACACATTGATCAGTTGCCTGTCAGCAACTCAGATGTCGCGCTGCTTTCAGAGTCAGAGGTCACGCAAGTTGGCGCAAGGCTTGCTGTCATCTGATCTCAGGCAGTGCAGAACCGAAAGCTCAGGACGGCATAAGTTTTGCCTCTTCTGGCTGCAGTAATAAATGCAGAAAAATAAATGCAGTACTACTCCATCCAACAGCTTCGCGCAACAGCACCAACTGTCGTGCATACGTGGGAAGCTGGCACGCAGCAACCATCAGCAGCCATTTCGGAACAAGGCGTGTAGCATGGCCCAGCAACCAGTATGAACAGCATGATGGGGCGCCCGCTTCTGCCCGGAGGGTACCTGAAAGCGCGGGGCAAGCTCCAAACAGGCTGCAAGAATCGCTCCTCGAGGGTAGATGCAATCCAAAACCCGCGTCCTGCTCTCGATTCCTGCCCCCAATCCTCCAGAACTCCAAGCTTCGCAGCGTCACACCCAAGCTCTCTCACGAGGAGCTTTCGTGACGTCCAATGTCGGAATGGGATCCGTTCTGCAGCTGGTGCTCTCTGGGCGTGAGAATGCCCTCTTAACTTTTCAATGCCACACAACCGTTCCGAGACTTGAGCAGGGGTCTCAACACCCTTCCCAAAAATCATCGTGAGCTGCATCGCAGCAATTGGGCAGTTGGCTAAAGCCGGGATCATCATAAGTTCTGTAGGCAGCATTTCAGGGTGGCGGCCTGCACCGCGATCTTGATCGTGCGCGCTAAACCGCAAGCCGCAGGAGAATGACTGGGAGGATTCCAAAGTCTGCAAACTGACTCTGGAAGGGGGCCTCCTTCTGAGAGCCAACACCACAACGTACGAGTAAGCTCCAGAAGAAGAAAACGCCATAAGCGCACCGCTTCTACAAGATGCGACATGCCTCGATATGGAAAATGTGCCGAACGCCGTGGAGCTCAAGGGAAAACCAATGTTAAACAGCGACTGCGTAACAAAGGATCTCCAATTCCACAGGGGCCCATGGACACGCCATTCACTCTTGTCAATTCCAGCAAACATCATTCCCAGAACTAAACCCTGCACATCTGTACTGAAACATGTCTAGGTGTAGGCATGTAAGCTTGCATCGCAAGCCTGAAGACCTTGCAGCACCAAGCCACGCATCCCATGCCCTAGTATCCTCGCCTGGCCTCTGCTCCTTTTCCTTGCTGACTTTGAAGCTGCCAGGAGCTCTCTTGAAATCCTCGGCCTGGCTTGGTACTACGATGAAGCCGTAAAAAAAAGCACGCCTTGAAAAGGCCTTCGACAGGAAACCGCACATCTCCTGAAGCATGAAGGCTTCGTTGCTCTGCAAGCATCCCGAAGAGTCAGATGCATCATCGTAGCGCATCAGTCAGCAGTGGCAGTTCCAGTCCTCCAGCGACTTTGCACTCTTGAAATCCTGGCGCCGGTCAAACAGAAAAGAACGGCAANNAAAAAAAAAAAAAAAACAGATCAAGTTGCCTCTAGTAGCTGGAACTCGGTCAGCTCAGCTTTGGCCATCCGTCGACAGTGGAAGATGAGGGTCGACCTGACAGGCCACAGCTGCCATACCTGGCCCAATTGCCTTCTGCGGCCTTTGATCTGCTTTGGACTGAGGCACAGTGGTGGCGCAGGCAAGTGCTTGGAAACGTAGTCCAGGTAGAGCCGCGCTTTGGCAAGGCCATCCTCACTTTCACAGCTGAGTGTGGTCACAGAGGTTGGCCACGGCTGGCCTCTGGAACGGGTGTTGGCTGCACATCCTGCGCGGCAGAGTGTAGCCAGCCTTCTTTCGCTCTTGATTTTACACTACACTAAATAGTTTGCAAGCCAGATCCGGAGCCAGTACCCTAGATATCTTACGCTGCCCCACTTGGCACCTCTCCAGCATCCTGGCTGTGGGAAAGGAGGATCTTACGCTCCTGTGAAGAGGCTACAAGCACTCTTCTCCAGAGCCAGCCTCTCAGCCTCTGTGCCATAGCCTTGTACCAGAACCGGTGCTGCGGTGCTTGTCATGATGCCTTCCCTGTCTCTCCTTCCGCAGCTGCTTCTTTGTTGCCACCTGGCCGCTGTAGTCATCTCGATTCCAGTGAGGTGCTCAGGCCTATGTAATCACCAGATAGGCCAGCAGATGTTGCGAATTGCCTTCAGCTGCTCCTCGGCATTCAGTTTTGCGCCAGCAGCCTTCCAAACCAGCAAAAGCTCTTTTAGAGACGCAGAGTCTCCACAAGAACGACCAGACTCTCAAGAACGCTGCCACACTTTTGCATGCCATCTGCACAATCAGGCGCACGTTCTCCAGCAACAGGAACAGCTTCACGCAGATGTGAACTACAAAGGTGCAGAAAATGTCAGTGTCAAGTAACCTGCTTGTCGATGAGATTCTGAACTTGGCGAAGTTTTTTATCCACCTGCACTACTTTCAAGGTCTGTTCAAGGCTTTGAGATGACAGGCTCAGAGTGCCTTCCTCAAAGCTCTCTTGGAATCGTGAGCACCTCCCATGATTGTGCAGAAAATGCGGGCCATGCGGCATACAGCAAACACAGGCGATGGCACCGGCTACTAGCTCCAACCTTGATATCCGCAATCATGCGCATGGCCATTCTCTTATTTCCATCCTAATCCATGCTCTAGATTAACAAAACTCTCTAGATCTAAAGAAAATTCTCGGGGCCCAAAATGGGATTCAAAGACTATTTTAAACGCAGAGGCACTTTTTGGGCCTTTCACCCCCGAGATTTAAGAAAATTATCCGCAAACCCTAAAAATATGGGACCAACTACGTTTTATGTTCTAGAACTTAAGCTTACACCTCACCTGTTCTGTGGTTCTAGAAAATGGTAGTAGGGACGTACTAACTGTAGACTTCAGAGAGGACCTGCAAACAGGATTTGCTTACTAAACTTTATTGGGAATCTCAGGGCCAAACATTGCTTCCTGAGCTACCCCTTACGAGTGCTGCTTCATGGACTAGTTAATAGAAACTCCACCCAGAATAATAGAAAATGTCCTGACCATCTTAATCAGATTTACATGGCTTTTTAATCAGTTGATCTTAGTTGGAGTCCAATCAGATTTGAGGCTGCAATACTTGTGGCATTCAAAAAATTAAAGAGCAGATAGGGTCCAGCAAACAGGACTTGCTTACTAAACTTTATTAGGAATTTCACGGCCAAACATTGCTTCCTGAGCTACCCCCTTACGGGTGCTGCTACATGGATTAATAGAAAACCACCCCAGAATAATAGAAAAATCCCTGACCATTTTACTCCGATTTCAATGGATTTGAATCAATCTTATATGGATTTTCATTGGAGTCCAATCAGATTTAAATGGATCTTAATTCGGGACATATTTGATTGTAATCGGAGCCGAATCAGATTTCAATGCATTTTCAAATGTTCATTAGATTTATATTGATTTTAATTGGAGTCCAATCAGATTTCAATGGATTTTACTTAGATTGATAGTGATGTTATTTAAAGATCAAAAATTTTTAGTTAGATGTATACTGATTTTAATCGGAGCCGAATCAGATTTCAATGGAGCTTCATTAGATCTATATTGATTTTAATGGGAGTCCAATCAGATTTCAATGGATTCCAATTGGATTGATACTGATTTTATTTGGAGTTCAAGAAGACTTCAATGGATTCTAATTTGATTTATATTGAATGTAATTGGAGTCCCATCAGATTTCAATGGATTTTAATGAGACTTATATTGATTTTAATCGGAGCCGAATCAGATTTCAATTGATTTTGATTCGATTTATATTGATTCTATTTTCATTTCAATGAGATTCAAATGCATTTTAATTGAATTTATATTGATTTTCCGGGACCCCAATCTGGGATTCCGTGGACGTCGTTTACAATTAAAATCTCCTTCTGGCATCTGAGGCCCCTGTAAAAGTAAGGCTTTTCTGTTAATTTCGGAGGGGCAGGGGGGGGCGCCCTTACTAATCAAGAGCACGGATTAAAAAGTTGACCCCGTTGCACATTGAGCCCCGTCCATTAGCTGATGTTGCTGCATCAACTTCACACCACCAACCCACCCACCATCACCCACCACCGCCCAACCTTCTGCAAAAAACTGTTCTTGAGCTTCTTCTAGCATGCGGGCGAAACGAAGAATTCAAAGCCAAAACGAGCAACCTGGAAACCAACTTTGATCCCACAGGCCAAGACGGCTGACACAGAAATTTGAGAGCAGCAAAATCGGCAGCAAGAACTGCAGAGTCGGAAGCCGCAAAGGTTGATGTGAAACCAAGGCTGCGCATCGGAAGCTAAAACATCGGGCAATTCTGAAAAATTGAATAAATTCACCGGATGTGTTGTGGAAGCATGGGCCCAAGGAATACCATTCCCCCCACGTAGAAGTGAAGGGAGGGTAGAGTGGGACAAAGAGAAGCTGGAAGTCACGGCCATTCACAGCTTGATGGTGCAGAAGCTGCATGGACGTAAGTAGGCCTGCTTCAAGAACAGACCCTTCTAAACCCAAACCAACCAGGCCATGCTACAGAAGGCAATCAAATTCCATCAAGACAAGGCAGACTGCAGCTTGCAGAAGAGACCATTGAACACAGCTCCAGAAGTGCAGAGCAGCCATATGCAGCCATGGACCATGGATATTCGGATGTTGCTCATACAGCAACATGTCTTGTACAGAGTTTGTTCAACCATGCTGGCCTCTTGAGGCACCGGAAAACAAGCAAGGGTCGTCAAGCATGCCCTCTGCTGACATGACCTTGAATCATGGCTCAGAAGTCTGCAAAAGCAGAACATGAACAACTTGTACAACATTTGGCTGCTTTGTCTGTGCCGCCAAGGCCACCCCGTCAGCTTGGGTCAGCTCAAGGTTTGCCGCCACATCCGCCTGAGATGTAAAGCACTGCAAAGCTCACAGATATCAGCAGAACCAACTAAGACTCACAAGCGACTACAAGAAGCTCAGAAAACTGAAAATCCCCCGAAGACTCTGGATCACAACAGCTTGTCACCAGGTAAGGATTTGCTGCCCTAAATTGAAGCCAGGGTGCCCACGACTTAATGTTGCCGTTGGCAAGAATTGGCACGCGCACCACTCTCTTGATGGCGCGTACCTGAAGATCGAACTGTGCTATGAACACTGCAGCTGTGATTCTGAGGAAGTAACCTGCTCCAGATGTGCTGGACCATCTCGTCGATGTGTTGGCGTTCCGCGGTAACGAGCATGCACTGCAATGAGGCTGGCACCCGACGCCTCAAAGCTGGGGCGAGGGGCAGCAGGATTTCGCACTTCACGCAGCACATCTTTGCACCTCCAGCTGCCTTACAAGCTCCAGTGTCTCCTGGGCTATCCGATCAAGTGAATACTGATGGAAGATGTGTGCTGGCTCCTCTAGCTCATCCAGCAGGCGGATCTTGCAGAACACAGGGATGGGGAGCGCCTGCAAAGACTGGCTTCAGGCAGAAAAGCAGTGCATTTGAGACATGTGAGACATTGCGCCTCTGAAAGCCGCTTGACGATGCTGCAGACCAAGCCCCGATCTTTCTTCTCCAGCAGATAGGCCTGGAGTTTTGGGAATCCTTTTCAAGGCTGCCGGCGTGCACCAAGCTCGCCGGCAGCACTCCAAAGTGCTCGGCGTGTGCCTCATGGTTTTTTCTTAGATTCAAGGCTTGTAGATGCACCATCTTATCTGTCTCAGACGAGATGCTACACGCTGAGGGCACCCCAAGTTCAAGTCAATCGCATCAACACCTGGAAAGGCAAAGCATCGCAAAGCCCTAGAATGCGGGAGAGCTGGCTTCAGACAACGAATCCATGTCAATGAACAACAGCTGCTCAGCGGATTCGGCAGTATTCCTCTGAAGTTACGACCAGGTGCCGGACGGTCTGCAATATGGCGAGATGCGGCGAGCAGCACCTGCCAAATAAACTCGTCGCAGACAAAATCCAACTTGACTAACATGCAACATGTCGTACTTGCACTTGCACACACTAAGAATGCCGGCACGTAGCTGCAGCCCTAATCAGAACCACCGGCACTGGCCCCAAAGACAACACAATATCTGGACAGCATTTGCCCTTGAAGTTGCTCAAACAAGCCCAAAGAACCCCAAGAAGTTTCGGCTGACTTGAATCGGCGCAAGGCAAATATGCATGGATGCAAACGCCGTGCCTACCTAACAGTACCAGCATGCCGTCGCAGCCGCAATGTGATTACAGCTTTGTGGATGGAAACTTGACTTGCGCACTCCAGATGGCTCTGGGCCCAGAGGTGCAGTACATCAGATTTTTGTGGGCCAGTACCGCTGCTGACAGCAACAAACTAGTGCAAACACGTGAGGAAGGCCAGTTGCGCCGGCCTTGCAAGGATCAAGAGCCTTCAAGAGGCGACTAGGCAACGCTCTTCTTTCTTGGCGTCTGCGCGTCCTTGTGCCTTCTGGTGCACGAACCTTCCCTGCACCTCCCCTGTCAAGCGTCGCAACCCCCCAGTGCGGCATAGTGCGGCCGTAGCTAGATTGTAACGATATGACTTACGGGCGGCATGGTGATTTCAGAGATGCTGCGTAAGAACGACCTGAGCGCGGCCATTGTTTGTACTGGTCTAGCAAGAACAGGTAGCGCCACTGCCAGCTTCCTCACCTAAGCTAACAAATCCGGGCGTAACTATGCGTCTAAATGCGTCTGATAAGTACCGTCCGTAGCCTACTGAGGGTGAAGTTCATATCGGCATGGACTGCTCAATCTTCATCTCCTGGTGGCTTGCATCATGATGTGGGAGTTAACAGGTTGTGCAGAGTGTCAGCTAGAATTATTGGCTGGTTAAGCTTCGCGTTGTTGGGGATATTTCTGCGGCTAGCACAATCTGCTGAGGCCGCGTGCGCAAAAGCGTTTCTTGCAAGCATCCAGTGAAAGACTAGCAGCGATGGTTTCCTCATGATGTCTTGGCCCCTAGGCGAAGGTTGTGCAGGTGGCGCGATCTGGCTGTGAAATGCTTTGCAAGTTCTGGTGCGTGGCATCAGACAGCACCTGCTTGAAAACATCTTCTTCTACTCCATGCACCCTCGGATACTGCATGTTACAATGCCCATTGCATGCCTTTATGAGAATTAAAACATGTGTTCAAAAACCTCTACCCTCCCAGAGTGAGCTGTGAAATGCATGAGCACCAGCACTTCAATTGCCTCGGAAGGTACTACAACAACCATCTCCATCTGTCTGCACGGGCGTCTGATTGTAGCAGGCCAGCCTCTGGATCATTGCCACAGAAATGTGCCACCAGAGGCCTGTCCTAGGCCAAGTCAGCAACAGGAGTTCATAACCTGAGAAGACATGTGAGCTTCTGTGGAACATATGCATATGCTCTCCTCCGGGCAGGTCTGGAACCCATTCTGTGGCGCAGCTCTGTAGTCTGCATCCTTGGAAAATGGGCCGGAGTAGATCCTGGCACTGCCGGTTCAACCCACACCGGTGCGACACATGTGCTAGCGTGGGGGCGGACATAGGCGTGTAACACAGCTGCGCCCCAAATCGGCGAGTCATCATCCTGACGCAATGTCACAAGACCTTCAACAGACAAGCGGTACTGTCCACAAATGCACGTCCTGAAAGGCAGTTCTGAACCACCGACCATGGGCGCAAGGACATAGCGATGCGGAGGCAACTTGAAACCTGCGAACGGCAGGAAGTTTGCTGACAGTTAGCAAGCCTGCTCTCGGAATGCAAAGTCAGCAGGTGGTACGTGGTTGCGGCACCGGCACCGGCGGAATTTCGGTACTGTCGCCTTGCAAGGCTGCAGGACACGCAAGGCTATGCGAACGTTGACAGGGGAACCTGCAGGATCTGGCCTGAAAGCCGAGCTTTTTTGTTGGGGATGCGTTCTGCAACTGAGGATTTGCGCTTTGCATGGCGTACCTTGTGCGATGATCTTCGATGTTCACAAATGCCCCAGCCCGCCACATTTTCAGCATCCACATGTGCCGGGCCTCCGATGCAGCCAGGACCTCGGCTTCAGAAGGTACATGGGCCTTGGGGCTTGCTCATGAATCGCCTAACTGAGGTGAAAGCCGAAACTGTGCCGTCTTCCCATGCTACCTGTGCAGAATGATGGAGATGCACAGGCCCCAAATCATCGCCTGTGTCTATACGCCTTCAGCCGATCTCCACGATGCTTAAGGAAGGTGCAGGGGTACCATGCCTCGGAGCATCTCGGCGCACATGCCACTGGACTGCATCTTTCAACTTAAACGAAGTTGCCTCATCAGGTTGCCAATATCCATGCAGTTCGATCCCAGGGGTCAAGTCATGCTGCATGCGGAGCTCCAGCGTGAGGGCTGTTGGCTTGCTCTGGTCATCTCTGGTCACAATGCTGCACTTATACTTAAAACGGAGCCTGAACACACAGCTTGTGCTTACATCACTCTTGATATTGCGTGGCATGCAAGCCCTTCATTCTGAAACAGAACCGCATTCTGAATCTTCTCAGGCATCTGAAGCGATCAATGCACCAATCTCAAACATCAGTCAAGACGGAGACGTGTCTTTCACACCAAGAACGCGCGTCGGATCAAGTAAGGCCGCATGCAGTGCGACTCCTCTCCTGATGTCGGAGCTCCGCCAGTGGGCCAGGACTCTTTCTCCAGGCCTCTCATCGAGACAACCGGTCAACTTGCCGTCCTCCATGCGCTTAGTCCCTGCGCAGGCTCACCCCTTCCGAAGTCTTCGAAGCAGGTCGTCACAAGCATGAGGACACAGCAGGACGCACGAGAACTCTTGCACGTAGGCAGATGCGGTTGTCGCCCCTGCAATCAAAGCATGCAAGCGAGCGCTTTGTGGCGGGTACTTCCCTGGAGCAGACCTGCTGTGGTGGGTCAGCATGGGACGTCAGCGCGTTCCCATAGAGGCAGCGCTGTCTGAAGCTGGTGCCCTCCAGTCCAAAATCTCAAGCCTGGCAAAACACTCAGTCATCCAGCCAGTTCGAGACATCCACCTCTAATTGCTCGTAAGAAGCGCGGCCGCAAGAGCGCTTTTGGATTGCTGCGTCTGTACCCGGCAGCGACCCGTTCACGCTTCGCTGGCTTGCAGCAATTCCATTCATCTTGTTGGATCTATTTTCCTTTTGCTCGCGGGATGGTGCGACGGTTTTCGACTTCACGCTTCTACTCGATAACGGCCGGTCTCCGGCAGTTCGCGCCTGTGATTGGCATGGCATGCTCTCACGCGAAACATGTGGAGCTGAGGCATGTCGAGGGGTTGCGCTGCAGTGTCGCGCGTGTTTCTCTAGGGCCTCCTGCGAAAAGCGACGCCCACAGCGACTACATTCGCAAAGTCCGTCTAGTCCGTCTGCCAGCCATGACTCCTTTGGCTTGACCATCAATGGTGGCAGCTTCTTGCCATTTTGAAGATCTTGCCGAGCTGCAGGAATATGCTGCTCCCCTGGAGTTCCAGCAAGCAGCTTCCGGACCACATCAAGCTTGGCAGGCTTTGGCTTGGATTCAGGACACCGTGTCTCATGCTTGGCGATTCGATCAAACCGGAACCTGCGATGACAGTACGAACATTCCTCCAGCATAGACTCTGCTGTGGATGAAGGCAGTTGCTCTGCAGCATTCTGCTGATCAGTCTTGCCGTCCAGAGCATCCAGAAACTCCTCAGGGATTTGCTAATGCTTTGCACACACGTTCCTTTGATTCGCGCTATTTCCACAGTAGCCTGAAGGGTCGACTCAGGCAGTTGACCAGGAAGTATCAAGTGAGGCTCAGGACCTGCACCTGGGAGTCTGACGTTGGGTCTTTGAGTCCCGAAGCACGAAGCCTTGCCTGACTTGTTTGTGTGCAGGACGAGCTCGAAGCCCAGAGCCTGTCGCAGCGTTTGCAGTCGCATCAGAAAATCCCCGGTTTTTCCATGCTGCTCCTGCAAGATCCTCTTCGCTGCATCCCACTTTCCAATAGCCTGGAGCGATTTCTGATTGTTGGCTTCTTTCATCTGGGACTCATTTTCCAAAAAACAGTAATCTGGAAGTCTGTGCAGATTAAGAAGGTATTTATCTGCTGATATCAGTGCACGCCTTCCAACGTCTACAGCTCGAAATGGCAAAGGTACGCGGTTTGCCTGACTTCCTCGTCTAACTCAGTTTTTCAGTTGCAATGCTTCGGCTCAGCAGAAGAAATCGCGGGCACGTGGGTTCTGCCATGTTCAACAAGCTAAACCTGACCATCATGATGCATTGGGGGCAAAGCTCCATGCAGGGAATGGCACGTACTATCCCGAAGCCTCTGACACAGCCGGATTTGAAAGACGCAGTCGACGATATTTCTTCTCCTTGCCGTCAGGGGAGGGGACTGCAAGAGCAGAGCTGACTTGGCCTCACGAAACCTTCCTCCAGAAAGCACGCGTTCCGGGCAACATCCCGAAGCCGATCCAGCGTGAGCGCAAGCATAGCGCCTTGAAAGCTTCTGACTTGGGCAGCATGCACTTGAATAGCCTCAAGATGACCGAACCTCTGAGAGCCGGACGGGACTCCTCGTCACCTGCACTCTCCTGACAAAAGCTTTCCAGCAGCAACATCGCTTGTGGTGCTGGGCGCATGCTTGGTTCTGAAGGAAAGGCTGAGTGTCATCATAACACAGCATTCCAGTTGGGTCTGCGAAGGGTTTGGGCTTCATTTTGGCAGCCAAACATGCCCTGATCTTGCAACAATTACAGCCAAATCAGAACCGTTTGTGTCAGCTAGATTTTCCAGAAACCCCATGACCCCAGTGGTACGAAATATGTTTCATCTGGGCTTCAGCTGTCACAGGACTTGTTGGTGCAAGTGATGGTTGGGACATACTAATTCTCCTGTATAAAAGTAAATTGTGACCGGCTTTCATTGGATGAGAACGCACAACATCTGTTCAGGCACAGCCTGGGCAATCTCTGTCTTCAGCAAGTTCAGCTCCTTTGTCACCTGTGGAGGCAGGGGACATCCCACGTGACAAAATCCCAGACACTCAGGTACAATAAGCTGCACACAGTTGCAGACGTGGGGGAAGGCTGAGGATCCTGTGCTCCAGCTTCGGGATTCCAACTTGCTACAAAAGATCAACGAAGATTCTGAGGCGGTAGCACTAGATGCTTCACGCATCGGTTCAGTATACTTCTCCGCAAGGGACACATGACCTTCTTGGTTGAGACGCCGCCGGCAATCTTCCTGGAAAGGCAACATTCTGGATTCGCCAGTTAGTCATGTTTCATGCGCAGCCCTGTGGGAACTCTATGGAAGGCGTACGGCAGGGCTATGGAGGGCATTTGGTGGTATTTGGGGGTGAGCCAGTACTGGCAGTAAGAAGGGTAGGCGGGTGGATGGTTTTAGGAAACGGTTCCTAAGGGATGACGGGGGATCCGGGGGCCGGGTTGTTGCCCCTCTCCCTTCTTTACATGTGGCTAGCCATGTCACCTTTCCCTGCAGCCTTCTCGCCCGTGTAGATGCCTCACGCGCCGTTCCTGTTAGCAAGATGCAGGCCCGCGCATCCCGCGCTCCAGCACCCTCTGTTGTCGCAGACGATGTTCTCCCTTCCCTTTCTTTCCGCAAACCCTTCCCTTTCGCCACTGGCGCCTCCCCCCTTGCGCCCACCTGTGCCCTTCCCACCGTCCCTCCTCCTTCATATCACGCTTCCCCCCTTCCCTGCCTTCCTTGACCCCCCCGTCCTTCACACCCACCTCCACCTTCCAACTCCAGCGAGGCGGCGGACCGCGCTAACGTTAAAGTCAATACTTGCATGGCTGCGGGAAATGCATTCCCAACCCCGGGCTTCCCATGCCCCCTCCTACACGACCCCAGGAACCTCAGGGATCATGGGCCATCAACCCCTGCACACGTGCCAAGCCCGACGATGATCTGTCTTTCAAAACGAGTCAGCACTCATAGGGCTCGTGCCACTACTCGTACCACCAATTTCTGAAGCCTTCATGAATCTCACCCCCCCCCATCTCCATGAGATAAGATTTTTGCTACTCCGGCCGCAACCACCTGCAATCCATATATGGTGCTTGCAGTTTCCATGATAATTAGGGCGCCTCATGGCGCCTCCTTATGATAAACCAGATGAGTATGATCATTTCGGGCCTCAACGTTTGGTTCTGGCGATGCTGAAGTACAAAATGTGCATCATTCTTGCCGGTCCGCCAAACTTCACTGCCCGGCTGGCCGCACAAGGGCTCGTTGCTTCGAAGTGGCAACAGGCATGCGGCGCGCTGAAGAACAGAATTGGTGTACCTAAATCTGCAAATTCACCTGTTATTCCTCTTATCTGAATCATTGTGAATCCATTGTATATTCCATGACATAACAGTGAAAACCACGTACAACCATGTGCCGCTTGGCTTGCTTAGCTTCCGAGAGTAGCGAGTAGCATTTGCAGTCTTTGCCGCTTCCGCGCAACGTTTTCAACTGAATTTCGGGATGGCTTTCGCGAGAAGTCCAAAACTAGCGCTCAAGTTCCCACACACGGAGGCTTTCTCAAAAAGCATGCTTCCACGAACCATGCACGCATTGTCCGCGCAGAAGTGCTTCCGCAGAGCTTCCACGCCCTTCCGCGCGCATCGGGAAAATTGCTTTTCGATGACAATTCTCTTGAATACTGTGCCCGTCCAATATTATTTCCTTTCCATACTGTAGGATTGCAACGATGTCCAGCTCTGCGCAAACACCTATCACCTCATCTTTGCTGCACATGACTGATGTTGCCCTGCATGAGCATGTTGTCTACTTATTCATCAAGTCAGCAGGCTGCCAGTGCTGTGCCACTCTCCCACAGCCTCGTGCTCGACGATCTGGAGCAAACCCAAGCCTGGAACGACCAAGACTTATGAAAACTCTGGATTGATACCCACCATCTGGAAAAACCTACTCAATGAGCTTGCACTACACTTTACGCAACTGCACTGCTTGCCTGGCCACAAAAGAACACAGCTGGAGGAATTTCAGCGGTCTCGTGTTTTGAGCTGATGAGGCAATCGAGCAGTCACCTAACCCACATAACACAACCTCACTCGCCACCAGGAACAGGTGAGACACATCAAGGCCAAATCAAAGAATTCGGATATCAGGGCGGACTTCCCGCATGAAAGAAGTTGAAAGCGTCTAGAAGCTGAATATCGAAGCACAGGCCACAAACATTTGTGGGCGAGAAAGGCAAGGACCTGTAGCAACAACAGGGCACAGAAAACCAATAATCTCCGAACCAAGAGGACCTCGTGAAGCAAGCATCCTGAGTGGAGCCAATAGAGGACTGGTGTCGGAATAATCCGCGGAGACTGACCAGATGTGAATCGTGTGGCAGGGCTAGACATGAATGGGGATCCATCCTGCTCCCGCAATAGACTAGGGTCCTAACCTTGATGCCGAGCACCGGAACATCCCTGAAAAAACAAATCTCGGCACACCCCGGCTCTAGCCTCACGCAGCTGCTAGATATCACCAGACCGCTTTGTAAGCTTCGGCCCCAACAGTCGCACTGGCAGGACAGGACATTAGCCACACGCCGCGAGTCCCCTGCAGTACGAACCATACAGAAAAGAATCAGTAATTAGCACGAGCAAAGTAATGTCCGAGTTTTGCCAAATTGTCCGAAATGACAGCCAGTTTCGGGGAAACTAGTGAATCTTTTTTTGCTGGAGGGGTAAATAGCGGCAATTTCCACGCAACAGAATTCCAAAAAACTGGGTTTGCCGGAACCGAGGCCTACACTACTTGCACTGCTAAACACTTTCATGGATTTGAGGGGATAATGTATCGAAAAGGAACGACAAGCATCTCGGTATGAGCATAGCAGGAGTTCATGGCGTGAGCAGGCTAGAGGTTCAGAGAAATCGAACAGGTTGTAGCTGATCACACTCCAAACGAATACATGGGAGCCAGATGCAAAAAAAGGCGGCGATCATCAAACGCACCATCACCGCCGGTGATCAAGCTCGACACCCGCTCGTGCAAAGAGAAAAGACAGTCATGCAGCTTTTGTCATTTGCCAATGCTGCCAGGATGGGCTGCAGGTGTGAGCTAACCTGGACTGAGCAATGTTCAGACGCTGCACCATTGGCAATAGTATGGATGGCATCGGTTCCAGCCGCACGGTCGCCGCAGCGGCAATGACAGCACTAGTTCCGGCTAGTCAGTGCTAGCTTTTGCAGCAATGCTCTTCTTGAAGTCTCTTTGCACGTGATAACATCAGATTGCATGGCTGTGTTTTGGAGCACTAAGTCCTGCATGCGGCAGCTTGCGATAACTTCAGACAGCAAAATGCCACAACTGTTCTGGCGCGCCTTGCTGGCCGCAAATTGAACACAGGAAGAATCCGCGGGGATCCAGGCCTCAGGTCAATGTTTGCTGGGGGCGGGCATGAAAATTGCTCTAGTGTCCACACAAATACTGTGGTCAAGGCTTCCGATTTCACCAGCCTCTCCAGCATCATCTGATGTGTGCACAACAGGGACATCCAGCCTCGATCTTTGCTAATGCTGTTTGCAGTGCCAGAGACCTGTCCTTGCCGCATGCGAAAGCAACTGGCACAAAGGCCATCGGGAAGATCATGAGAGATATGTGCCAGTCCTGCCATGTTTTGTGAAGCTCCTCAGACTTGCTGGGCACGCCCTGCCGACTCGCTCCTTCCTGCAAGATGGAACACAAAGCAGGCACTTATCCTTTTCGCAATCGCGCCTCTCGCAAGCGCATGCGCTTGCAGCGGTTAAGGTGGTCTGGAAGATCATCCTTTCGCACCTTGACCACACACAGCTGAAAGATTGTTTCCACGGTGAACAAAGTGAGGCTGAAAGGATGCTGCCGCTCAAATTGCCTGTTCGTTGCTACTTCACCAGTCGCAGCATGGATTTAGTGCGCTTGCGCAAGAAAAGTGCTTCCTGCAATCGAGCTGACACATTTGGAAACGACGCAGTGGCCGCAAAAACGCATCTCCCACTGCAAGGTTTCAGCTTCTGTTTGTAGCGAGCTTTGGGAACACAGTTCCTGATTCACAGACTTTCGTGACTATGGTCGCTGAATAAGATGTATGCTACGCGTTGCCATCATTCAATCCAACCCGAGGTGAAGCTGCCACAAGCAGCACATCGCAGGCAGGAGCTGTCCTTCATGCCTTCAAAAAACTTCAAAACGAGAAGTTACCATCTCCTCGATTGCCAAAAGGCAGCTCGATGATCCACTGCCAGCAGAACGCGGCGTGTTCTGGTGCCATTCTGTTGCCAACACTTTAACACCAAAAAAACAAATTCATTAAAACCCATTTCGTAAAAAAAAAATGAGGGCCAAATACTTTATCGATAATACTTCTTAAAACTTGGAATTTGCAGAACTGTGCTTGACAAAAACTGGCTGCGCATTACCAAATCAAACTCGCCCTAGGGCGTTTTGGGCAAAGCCCTAACGATCGCTGATGGAATTACAAAAGTAAACACTAGGTGTGGCGAGGCGAGCACAGCTGAGCCGCTAAAGAAACAGGTATATAAGCTTCCGCCCGCGAGCTTCCGCGGACCTTCCACGAAACCTCCGCGAAGACAACTGACCGGTTTTTCGACGCCGTGCTTCCGCGGGGCTCTTCTGCGGACGTTTTCGTCTAAGGTGCTTCCGCCGCTCTTCCGCGAAAGGGATTTCTAGTCTTCAGCGTTATCCGTCCAAAGCCCGAGCGGACATTGAGCGCGAACTTATTTAGAAGGGCGGGGTTGGAGCTGGCCTTAGAAAGTTCAAACCAAAGGCGGTCACTCGGTAACTTATTCAAAGGGGGAGTTGGGGTGGTTGTTCTTGGTTCAAACCAGAGGCGGTCCCTCGGGAATTGGTACTGCAGTAAAAAGGAGTGGCTAAGTAGTCCCCAACCCATCCCATAGCTTCCGCGGGGCTTCCGCGGAGCTTCCGCGGAATCCCCGTCACTTCATTAGTTCCAGGGACCCGGTCCCGGGAAAGTATCTCCGTGGTGGCTCCCTTATTGCCAAAGCATAAAAACAACTCTAGTGACGAAGTGCGTGGGATTTACCGGTTGCGGCGTCTCCAGCGCCCTGCCCAGAATGCATTAGGGCTTTGCAAGTACATGGGGATCTTCATTTTAGTGTTTAGGGTGTTGGGGGGAGCCACATTACGGCTGAATTTATTCTGAAGTTAAGAACCTTCCATCTCCATAAGCTGTTGCTCGGGATTCGGCGGATTGAAAAAAAGAGCTTCCGCAAGAGCTTCCGCAAGCGAAGTGCTTCCGCGAAAGCTTCCGCGATCTTCCGCGCGCACAGTGGGAACCGCTTTTCGGAACATGTCGCCAGCCGGTTTGCGACGTTATTTCCATATCTAATTAACTTGATCGAGCGCCCATTTTTTTAACTGCTCAGCTTGATTGGGGCAAGAAACAGAATGCCATCACGAGCATGCTCGGTGTTTGGGACGTTTAAAGCCGTCGGCCTGGGTTGGCATCAAGCCAAGTCGCCGATGCGCGCATTCAATGTTGGCCGGCTGCTGCAGAATACGCTGCGGCGTCCATGCTGGGCGGACACTTGCGCTGGCAGACAAGGATGGCATCGGGACCAGGGCAATTGCAGTTGGAAAGGCCTGCCACGACATGAATCGAGGTAGACGAGGCCCTTTGCCGCACACAAGCGACATGGGGCCCAGGCAGCAGCCTGAAGTTGCTATGCACTTCGTAAAAAAAATCCGTCGCTTGCGAAATCAGACATCCTTTGCCCAATGTTAATATGTGTACCAGTATTGCTATCAGAGTCCTTTTTAACATTTGTACGAGCGTTGGTACTGGTACTAATTCATAAACGGGTACAATGTTGCCATTGATGGGCGAAAAACGTCTGATTTCATGCCTTTGGCTAGGAAAACGTTCTGAATCAAAGCTCCCTTGCCCTGTACCGGTATCAAAACCATATATTTATTTTGCATTGTATTCGTACCATTTCGTACCTGTATTACTATCCGAATTCCTTTTGTGATCTGTAGCAGAACTGGTACTTAGCAACGGCACACACCGCAAGAGGGAACCTGGCAGCCCATGTCAATTAAGGGACCGGAGAACCCCACATGTGTAGCTTAACCTAAATTTATGTGAAATGATATCAGGATATTGTCGCCCGCCAAGATAAGAAGACGTGTTCGAAGAGAAGGTGCGCAGACGAAACAATCGCTCCGAACGATGCGAGGAGCTGGCGACACGAACGCAAAGGACAACCACGATACATGCTTTTAAATTGATGACCTCAAGATCAAAGTCCGACTTCGGACATGATTTCGTGCCGTGGCGAGAGCTGTGCACGTGTATATAGATATATTTATATATATACATATATGTGTATATACATATGTATGTGTATATGTCTATATACATATGCTCACCAGTACACTAAGACTGAATCTCGGACAGCATGCCAAGCTCACACCCTGCACCAGAATTTTTTCCGTCTCACAGTAGGCGCAGATGCCGGGAAACCGCCGTTCGACCAGGTAAGTCTCACTTTGTACTCCTTACTGTATCGTTTCTGCACTGTTAAATTCTCCTTCTTGTTCGGGAAAGACGTCGTGGTCTCGATGAACTGGATGTCAATCAAGCCCATTGCACGTCCACAGGCCAGCAACGACACAAACAGACTGGCATCCACTCGAGCAAGAAGCTCAAGCAAAACAACAAACTGTCAATTGCAAATGCACATCCAAGCAAGGACAGCGAAGGACCGTCTCGAGAGCCAGAGTCTGAATCTGCACATTTTTTGGGTACCGGCGCGCGTCTTATGAGCACAGAGCAGCAGTTTTTTTTCCCTTTCCGAGAACGGACAGGCGAGCCCAAACCGGTCAGCACTCGGCGGGACAAGCTCCCGGTCACAAGGCCGCATCGCCAGAAGAGCACCCCAGATAAGCCCCCGTGACATTTGCTGCAAGTCTGCCACAACTCTTTATCCCGGGTCGCATGTTGCCAAACTGAACGGCCGTTAGGACTCTTCGCAGGAAAAACATTCCAGAGATCGCACTTGCAGCGCACAAAAAAGAATGACAGAATGATGAAATGACAACACGTCATCACGTTCCTACTTTCTGAGCAATCTCCGACATTCCAAAATACGCTCCTTCTTCTGGACCGCAGCCACCCCGAAAGCACGAGCCTCCAGTAGAGCGCGCAGAGGCCAAGAAGACACCCGCGGGCCCGCGCGTGATGAGGAATGGAGACCGTCTTGAGTGTAAACAACGGACTAATCTCAGCTGGAGCTCCGACCTTCAAAAGTTTCGACACCAAGTTCTCCTGCCCGCTGTAGCAGCCCTTGATCAACCGCAACTCATTACTCCACTTCTCAACGCTGAACACATGAAAAGCCTTGCCTTTCAGTGTCAGAGTCCGCAGGACATCCAAGTATTCATATATAAGGCCGAACGCAAAATCAAAAGCACTCTGTCGATCCTTGTCCCTCCATCCGCAACAACAAGGTGTGCAAATTGCGACGTCTGCTTGACCCTCTCGCGGCACGCAAGAACGCCAACTCCACGTACCCGCAAAAAGTTCAGTTTTCGAGAACATCTGGCAGATTAGCCTCTTCCACACCGGGACGCTGAGTAAAAATGGAGCAGTCGTCTGACTCGAAGATGTCCTTCAGCCTCTCCAAGTCGCCGCTCAGAGCCGCCCAAGCCACCGCAACACTGCGACCTTGACTGTCTGCCTCAAGCGACCAGAAGTCGGAAAAAGAAAAAGACTCCCCGCCCCCAACCCAGCCGCACACATTCCAGCGCTGAATCGCAAATACTTTCGGAACTGACGAACAAGAAAAGGGCCGCTTCTCGGACGGACCCTCCCCTTCTCCCGACCACGAGCGTGACCGATCCGCCCCTCAGCATGGAAAGCAACTCCTCGTCCCCTTGAGCCTCCTCCGCCCACCTGAAGGCCGACGTCAGCGACTCGCAGGGAGTGCCGCGAGACGTGTCCGCTCCTCGATCCAGCCAAGCTCGCACGTAAACTTTGCAAAGATTTCCTGCTGCGCGCAGAAAAAGTTGATCTCGCGACCGCGAGGCCAGCTTGCTGATACGTCTCCTGTCAATCCTACCGGGCACGTGCACGTNNTACATGTCCAACTCCACCCCCGCGCAGAAAGCACGCGGCCGGAGGGAAGGCCATACTGAAGGTGTCAGCAGTCGCAAGATTTCCGGACTGGCATTCGAAGCACGAGCCCACTCCAAGGCGATCCAATCCAGCTGATTCGCTGCGGCTCCATGATGCAGCCAGAAAGTCAAGCACGGGCGTGAAGAAACAGGTAGTGATCTCGCTCAATTGTAGCATCTCCAAGAGCCCACCCATACACTCACCTCTCATTGGGAAGAAGCCATACGCGAAATGTTCACGTGATCATGTACATATACACACACACGAGCGACAATTTGATACGCACACGTAACGCAACAACTAACCCGTAGTTATTACAAGGATTACAAGGTGTACCACGACGAGGCATCGCACTCTTTTCCAACCATGTCAACTTCAGTGGCTGGATTCCCCGTCAAAAGTTTGTCACACCAAGGTGCAACCTATGGTGTCCAAATGTTGA